ACGCTCCCCTCGCCGCTAATTGGAACAGGAAATGGCAACATCGGAAAAAATTTCGTCTAATACAAAAAGCGGCTAAACCAAGCAAGAATGTGGCGATAACAAAGAAAATAAGGTAGTAATATGATGATAACAAAGAAAATAAGGTAGGAATGTGTAAATAATAGGAAATAATGTAGGAATGTGTCGATAACAAAGAAAATAAGGTAGGAATGTGTCAATAACGTAGAAAATAAGATTGGAATGTGTCGATAATAGAAAATAGTGTAGGAATGTGATGATAACATAGAAAATAAGGACTATGAATGTGTCGATTATATAGAATATGGAGCAAGAATGTGTCGATAACATAGAAAAAGGGGCCGGGAATGTTTCAATAACATGAAATATTGCGTAAGAATTAGTCGATAGCGAAGAAAATAGAGTATAGGAAGGTGTCGATAAAATGTAATATAGAGTATGAACGTGTTGATAACTTGGAATATGGAGTAAGGTTGTCCCTATTACATATAACATGGAGTATGGATTTGTCGATAACATATGATATATGAACGATTGATAATGTGCCGATAATTTGTAAAATAGAGCATTAATATATGGATAAGATGCAACATAGGGTATTAATGAAACTTTAACATAGAGCATGAAGTAGAGAAGTTTAGATTATGGATAATCTGAAGTGAAAAGTTTACGAATGAATAAAACGGGAAATTAGAACGGATCAAGAAGATGTTATGTTCAGCACTAATATTTCAATATGATGGTATGTTCAAATGACAAACAGTCTTTTACAGTTGAATGTAATGAGAGAAAAATTAAGAATGTCAACTGCAAATAATATAATCAAATATAATATTACTGTAGAGCAATGATAGGTGATAATGTAATAACAGTGTTAATATGGAAATCGAGCATAAATTTTATGGTGACTTGAATATATACCTCATGTTTCAATAATATTTCGAAATTTTATCTTAAAAGAGCATGTATTAAAACACAATATAATTAACAAATATTGTGTTTAATAAATAAGCATGGAATTAGCTTACCCCAGAATAGGTTTTTAAGAAAACAAAGTCCACTAAACCTGATGATTAGACAATATAAATAAAATTATATTCGATGACGAAAATATATAAACAATTTAGTACTGATAACGGCGAGACTGTAGACAAATTGTGTAAATTGCTTAGGCGAGAATTTCAAGTTTATACAAATTGACGAGCATTAGAATTATTTTCTCATACCATGAATTTCGGTTAGCTTCTCCATTTCACATTTAAATAAATGATGAATATGATTCATTGCACTCCAACTTTCTACGCCTAAGCTTTAAAAAAAATTACGCGTGTTAGTTCCTCTGAAAAACAATGGAATTCAAGAAAAAATATTCATAACAAATTTATTCTTCATTCAAGTGCCGAGAATAAATTTTGCAGCTTAAAAATCTGATCTTGTTAGCTCTGCTTCTCTCATGTTTTATTGTAAGATGTTTTAATACCTTTATTTAAGTTGAATTTCTCAACATATTTTCACATCTTTGAAGCATTGAGCGTTGAAAACAGTCGTTTTATTAGAATTATATACAAACAATTTAGAACACAAATTTTTTATCGTGTAGTTTTTACCTCATGTTAAATAATTATTTAATGTATTTCTATAGTCTTATAATAAAAAGTTAATTTGTTTCCAGGAATGAGTCATGTTCCTGCTGTTATTAATTGTGTTGTACATTTTGTAATGAATTTTGTATATTGCATATTAAAAAACTTGTGTGTTAAATTTTGCATTAATATAAAGTTGTCACACAATATATGTGGATATGTAGGAAGCCGTGTGTGGAATAAAGAACACGGAGTAGAATGTCTGGATTTATTGAGAGTGCAATCAAAATTTAAGAGCGAAAGAGAGGGAGAGAGAGAGAGCGTTAACTGGAGAGGGGGTTTAGAGCGGGGGTTAGCAGTAGGTTGTTCAATAAATCAATTCCGTTTGGTTGAGAATGAGAAGAAGGGGGAGGGAAGCTCTTGAAGGCTGTCATGGAGAACGACTCCCGACCAGTTTTGTCCCATTGAGGCTTTATATATGGTGGCGTTTTAGTTGGCTTACTTTGGCTATAAAATAGGAATAATAAAATTATATAATAATATTGTGAACGTATGATATAGATATTATAATATATATGTATCTTTTAATGACTTGTAGAAATGTACGTGATAAAATTTCTGTTACTATAAATCACTTTTGATATTTTTCCGGACGTCTAAAAACAAACTTCAGCACGGAAATTAAAAATTACTGTTCTCAGCAGTCCATTCCTTTCATTCAAATTTTAGGCGATAATATTTTAGCAGGTGACTACTGCAAACATATAACTTCATGAAGATTTAAGATTCCATCTTGCAGATATTATTTCGAATGAAGAAAACCGAAATTCATTTACTTATTATTAGACATTTTTAACTTCATCTCTGGAATGAAATTTAATTTAGATACGTGAATAACCTGAATACATTTTATAATAACCTTTTGTTCACTAGCATAACGAGTTTTTATACATGAAAGCTTCCCAAAATTCAGTGAACTTTATACTAACTTATATACTTATACAAACTGTTATTTAGTAAGTTAACAGATAACGAAGCATTTTTAGCGTTTTCAATACTTAAATAAAATGTATTTTAAAATACCGTACAAAATGAGCGTCTATAAAAATAATTGAGAATTCACAGTACGCATCACATAACAATTAAGTTGATTCATATTCGTCATGTGAATTATATTGTTCTGATGTGTAAAATATTTTTTCGTCTGTCCTTACCCTGATAAAAAAAGGTTTCTTGTCGGCCATTATGATGATAAAAATATTTTTTCCTTGGTCATTATGCTGATAAAATATTTTTTTTGTCGGCCATTATGATGATAAAAATGTTTTTTCGTTGGTCATTATAGCTGATAAGAATGTTTTGTTTTTGCCTGTCATTATGATGTTAAAAAATGTTTTTTTTGTGGGTCATTGTGATGAAAAAAAAATGTTTCGTGCGAGTTTCCATGTTATCAGAGATTTGTACGCGAGTATGTTTTTAAAATCAATTCCGCTTAATTATATAAATCACATATGAAGCTAAATTACGACTTAATTAAGCATCGATGAGGATAATCTGACGGGTTAATTCATCGTGAGACTGAATAATTTGATCCACGATATTTTGAAGTCAACGACTCTGCTGCTGTATTATGCTTTGATTATTTTAAAATTAAGGCTGTTTTATTTGTATTCTAATCGTTTAAAATTTAAATGCAAACTTAGAAGGAAAGACCACTACATACAAGAAGCAATAAATTTTTTTCTTGTGTTTCAATTGTCACAACTGAAGCTGAAAAACGATATAGAACCGCAAGTTTAGCAAGCATCCTTAATGTTAAATGTTTACAAGATAATAACTAAGCTCTTGTGTCTATCGTGTAACATTATTGGGGTACCATATAATAAACTGTCAATTAAATCAACAATAATCGGAATTGTGTATATCCGTCCTCGAGCAAATAGATCAAATTTTCTCGCTGTATAACCGAATGGAAAATTAAAGGTGTATGTAAAAATAAATATAATAGAATTTTTCATACATCTGATGATACTAGAGTATTAGAATTTGTATATGGCTTTAAATCCTATAGCATGTAGGTTACAGTCATTCGAGCCGTCGAAAATTTTTTTATGCATTTTGCCTATTCGATGAAGCCGCGTAATAAAATTTCGAATCGTTGGCCATGTAGATATATGCTGATTCAACAATCAAGTTCTCCATATTCCAAGCCTATAATTTATCTGAAACATTGTAAGTTCAAAAACGTGAACATCCGTATCATAACTGATTTCCAAAAGGCTAGCAAAATATGCGCTCTAATTAATGCATCTGAGTCACTAAAAAACAGCTGATATTCGCGAAATTAGATCTTAAAGTACACATATATGAAAATTTTTACATTTTTGACTGTTTTATTTAATGAATCACCCCAAATGGGCAGAATAAGCTGCAACACAGGTATCTACGTACACCCTACCATTTTATTGTGAACATGAAAAAAATAGGATCAAGTCCACGGACTTTGATCCACATATTTGAATACCTAATTTTGCCACTACAAGGATAGGCTTGGCTTTGTTTTCAAGAAAAGAAAAGTTTCTATGCAAAACATTATCTAAATCGAAGATCAAATTGATGCCCGGATAAATTTTTCCTTTTCATAATTTTAATAACATGGAGGTATTAAGCTTCAGAATCATATAAAAAATTTGTTAGTGAGAAAATCTCTTATTTATTCAGGTGCGACTTTCGATAATTTTGTTCATATCACTCAGGATATTATCAAAAATTTGTGAAAATAAGTATGGTTTCTCATATAGGTCGATTATCATTTGAAATGATCCATATGTTAGTTTGTATCAACTACTATTTATGGCTCTGCATTTACTGTCTATTTCACTTCACGGCGATATAAATAAATATATTTTAGACTTTGTGAAAATAATAATAAGATCTAATACAAATATTTTCCCCAGTTAGCAGGTATTAGGTTCTCATTAAAAAGTTAGTAATTTCAATTAAGAAGTTTTTATCAATGGTGCATTACATACAGGGATAAATTGAAACGAAATAATGAATTGAACAAAAAAATAACAGCGAGTCACAACGACAAAAAATTAGACTCTTTTGAATACGAGCCACAATTTTAGAACGAACAAGTGATTATTGGTTCTTTGTTAATTTGTCGACTTTTATATTGACGAGTTCATCGTTGTAAAATTTTAAATATTGGAGCAATTTTTTCAATAGAATGATAGAGCACAACAGTTTTTAATAGAAGTATAGAACTATCATACCAATTAGATTATTAATATCATTTATCTAAAGTATTACGTGCATTTACTATAGAAAAATAACAATTTTATTTGAATATGTATTAATAACAGTAAAAAAACACCGTGCGAAAAGTTTACTCACCAGGACTATGAGGTTGCGGTGGATGATCATGTCGCAAGCCCAACATGGAAGTGACCCCCGACACTGTTCCCCCGACGGGAGATATTCCCCCCATGGCGGGGAGGAAGGCATGGTTCATCCACATATGTCGGGAGTCGGGGAAGAACGGCGCGGTGGCGGCATGCTGCGCCGCTAGCGCGTGTCGGGAGTAGATCAAGGGGGGCGCAGCGCCGAGAGATCCGCCTTGACTGATCGACGGGGCACCAGAATCTCCTTGACTGTTCAAGCCCAAAAGTTCTTGTATTGCAAATGGACTTCGCTGGGGCAACGATGGGGCTGTTAGGGCTGTCATGTGCGCGTGGGCGGCTTGGAGTGACGGGGAAACATGGAGTCCGCCTCGGTCCATCATTTGGAAGTTTTAGTTTTAATTAATATTTTAAATCTTAAATTCTCAACTTCCTTGCGGCGTTTATAGCTAGTGAGATCTTGGTCTTCAGTTCTTCTCATGCGAGTTGCAAGAACTTGGTTTGGAATTATTATCTATTAATAAACATGCAGATGCAGAATACCTTCATTTACCTACATGCAAAAACATAATAATGATCAAAGTATCAATGTTCCATCCCTGCTTTCAAATGTGGATATAATTCAAATGAACAACAAGCGAAATTATTTTGGCTTTGAAACGATATTTTTTTCGAATATATTGCATCAGAACCGATAGTTTCCAGATATTCAATGTAGGTGAGTTTTCTTTTTATGAATCATGTGCAATCAATAAAAATTTTTGACAACTTCGAACGGTAAATTTTGCAATGTTTTTATGTAAATTGCAGCATTAGAAGTGACTGTAAGGCCTCGATGAATTTTCAAGCTTCTAACAATCACTAAAAGAACAATTAAAATCCAATCTTACATTTCACTCGATTGATTTCTGTCTATTTAATATTTCAAAATATTTTCAGATACTTCTCGTAATATCAGGAATAATCGTTTCACATTTTCAACTTTTTCGTTACTTTTTCGTTACTTTTGCAGGTCCAGCCCAGGCGGTTTCTTCATAACCTGAAATTGCAGAAGGTAGCTAACGTTAACTGCGATCATTGAAAATATTTATAAGCGTTCTATACATCAGATTTCATTTCAGCTTGAAAGAAAACTGAAATATTCAAAAATGCATACATATAAATCTCCCGAAAAAGCAAATGGTTACTAAATAAATTTAATCGTCATTATTTTCACCACAAAATTGCGCATACTAAAGTTCCTATATACACGTAATGAAAGTAGCAAGCGGGTATATATATAATTACTAATCAAATTTCTAATTCGTAAGGGACTAAAGATACAATAATTTTCTACACTACCCATTTGAAGCATAAATATTTTTAATTTCAATCTTTTACCAAAAACACACTATATAGAAGATAAAACATCTTTCTGCCCATTTTTTGTTCGTTTTCCTATGAACGACATAAATGATAAAAGATTATTTGCAAAACATGGCGTGGCCCGCGATGGATAACGTTATATGCATCAGTGCATAATGAATTAATAAAGAGTCTGAACCTATACTATACTGCATATTGATGTATATACATATATACTGCACTATCAGCGGTCAGGTAACAATGACGAAGATGGGCAGGACTAAATCTATATGAATGAGTGTATAAACTTTCCGTAACGTGTCTGTCTGTTTTTCAGCGTTCGAACTTAATGCGGAATATATTGTGTTAAAACTTTTCATGACTTGTCAGCTTGAATTAGAGTTTTTTATTGTCAGTTCAACAACACCAAGTGCGTGTGATGTTTTCCGTGATACCGAACTTGTATTTCAGGATCAACATCGCAGAGTTTCTTCATATAAGACTAAAAGAATGAAGATGTTAAATTTTTGTTTTTCTGAAATGTTGTTAGAATAGTTTTAGGAAAATTCATTGATGCTTACACAAATTGATGGATGCATTTACTTACCGTGTTTTGTTAATTTCTCCTCGATCTGTATATCATCTGATTTTCTTCCTGCGATGAGTGTCAAATCTCGCAGTGCGTTTCACAGATTTTTGTTATTATTATTCTCATATTCTTTCGACGTTTGAATTATTGCGACATTTTTAATCTCCAAGAAGAATTTCTTTATCGGTAAATTGAAATGCACTCGCGAAAAAACAGTTATTTATCAAAATTACCACTTAATTTTATTTGCGTTCATATGGTGGCCTTATCTCGAATGCGCGTAAATATTAGAACAAAACGAGTAATGCAAGTCCCTCCGATTGCACCGGAAAGAAATACACGTTATTTCATTTATCGCATGACTTGAATTCACCATACAAGTCTTTTTCTCACCTTTAGTTTAAAAATAAATCGACTAACAGCTAAATTTTCCAAATTATAAATCGAATTAAATGTTCAATTTCCATGATACATATTAAAACATTTCAGAGATCATCGGTGCAACATAGCGGAGTTGGTGGAGATAAGAGAGAACGCGACTCAGAGCAAGCGAGCGCGGCGACAGTGCTGCTGAGATCGTCGGTGCGGACTGCTGCGTCTGCGGCCACCGAAGCGCTTCTGCCTGCGACCTGAGCCGAGAATTGGGCGGTCTGTCGGTCCTGCGCTGCGCTGCCACCGAGAAAATGGCAGGCCTCCTTACGTTGCCTGCGTGGGGCGTGCGCTGCGCAAGGGACGGCCGTGGCCCACCACAGTTGCCTGTGAACGCCAACCTGTGCATGAAAAGCGCTTCGACTGCTCACATGTTAATTGATATTATTATTTAACTTACGCTTATAAAGGTCATAATTATTTTGGATTGAAGAAATTATTGTGAATATCAAGTAAAACTTTACAGAGGAATTTTGATATTCATGCGTAATGAGAAGGACAATGCGAATTTTGATGCTACCGTAGAGGTGTTACTGGTCGATAATTCAGTAAAAGGTTACGCCTCGGGCTACAACAAGCCAATGAACAACCTAACTTACCTGACCTGAACAAACTAGCAGCCAATAAGCTAGCTAGACCAGCTGAACCAGCTAAAGTAGCACCCAATCAACTTGCCCATCTATTGATTACATGGCCAATCATCGGTAAATGACTGAAGCTCAGTAGATATAGGCTGGCTGCCGCAACTTCATATAACAGCGATGATGCAACTGACATGATATCTCTGTAACTGTCACAGAACCTGCCTCGATCTCTAACGAACCTTCAAAACCAGCACAGGCGAACGAGCAAACGATGTTGATGTTGCTCCATTTTCAAGCTACTAAGCGCCACTGGTCTCGAATACACTCGAACAGAGTTCACTATATTCTCTACAGTTGATAAAAAACAAATACCAGTGCCCAGTCTTAATATCTAATTTCATTTGAAAATATTATCAAGCAGGCCAAATGAACTTTTAATTTCATAAGTGAAAAATGCGAAACTTTTTTGATCATATTGAAGTAATTCAACATAAACGATTTCGTAAGTTACTAGCTTATTATTGATAACTTTGAATCTTTATGATGTATACTTTCACTGAGAAAAAATAAATAATCACCATATGCGTATAAAGATCGATGGATTAATCACACCTGTTTGAAAATTCAAATTTTATACACTTCTTAATTGAGGATTAGGCATTATTTGGACTAAGTTAATCTATTGGTAACTTGTTGATTTAATTTTAATCAACCAAATATTATATATTTTAAAAATCTTATTATATATTTTTAAATGAGATATAAATATTTTTGTTGAATCATGGATTCGTCTGTCCACATCACGCATGTCAAGCACACGTTTGGGCCGTTGCCTCCTGCATATAGCAGGCAATCGATGATCTGCGTCTCTTCAGCGCAGTAATTATATATAATATATACGAAAAGTTTACAGGTAAAGTACAGTAACTTGTAACAATAGCTGGAATTCGTTCGCAATTTTCATGCACTAATCTATAAAGAATCTTTGTTTTCAGTGCCACTCATACGTCATCGCGCTCAACTTAATTGTCGCTCAGGTGCAGAGAAGGCAAGTTCATTTATCACAATGAAAAATTTATGACAAACTGTATTTTTTATAATACCATGAAAAATATATGTAGTACTAGCCTCACTCTCCTTCATCGTTCTTCTTGTTCATTTACTCAACATAAAACACAATTTCGTGTTTCAAAACCTTAATTTTTCCTTTGATTTTTATCAAGAATTACAAATACGTGATAAATCATCAATAAATAAATTCCCTGTAATTTTCAATATGCAACTTCCTATTAACTCTAAGACTGTTAATTGCCTGTGAGTAACTCTAAGACTGTTAATTTTCTCATTTATGGAAAAAAGGTGCAATTAATTAATTGAGCTCGTCATGTCCGTCCGTCCGTCTGTCCGTGATTTCACGTTTTCGTCGACGAGAAAATGAGCTCTCTGTCACTCACTGCAGTGAGTACTGAGTTATATTTTTTGTTAATTGTACTATAACGATAAAAAATTTTTAAATCCTATTGAAGAGATAAGAATTTCAATTTAGCATTGGAACTTGATCGTTGAATAAGCCGAGATCGATCGACATATATAGCCCAATATTTATAAGCGTGTGTTTCTCATAAGTAGATATTATCATAAAAGTTATACATATAAAAAATCGGCGCATTCATATCTTTATCTGCACATCTATCATATATAGATTTTTTATGGGTCGTCAATTTGGAGGCAGATTTTATTAATTATTGCAGAAACTTAAATTCTTTTTGTTTATTGTGCACGTATTTCCTTACTAAAACGTTTTTCGCCATTTTTTCACACCACAAATCAAGGAGCCATCTCGTATGGTATTCATAATAAATATTTTCATATTCGAACTCAAACTCGTTATAAAACGTAATTAAATTTGAATGTGAATTGATTGATAATGAATTGCTCAGACATAAAATGACTTGTGCGGAGTTACCAGTATATATAATTATTCTTTCTCAAAAAATTATTCTTTCTGAACAATTCAGTGTTCTCAAAACGCCACCTGAAATATTTGACAGATTATAATTTCAACTAACCGTTTCAATCAAAATATTTAAATTATTGACAAGTAGCAAATATGATATTATTCGATAGGAAATGAAACAAATTCAACTATTTATGAAACTTAATTCTTAATTCATTCATTATATACGTACAAGTGTTTCTTCTAGAAGTTCGGCCACGTGTAGCCGTGTAGTGATATATTTTCCATGCATAATTATAAAGTGAAGAAAATTAGACAGTCAACGATGGTCATTAGAATATTTAATTGTTATTTTAGTCGACTCGTATATCATGAAATAAAGTTTCCGCCAACAAAATAATTTCTCTGCTACAAAGTAGGTTCAACCTTAGGGTTAATTTTTCTTAATTTTGGTGAAGCGTTCCAGTTCTACCATGGCAGACTCCTTATTTTTGCACGAATTGCGTTCAGTCTTCATGCAGAATTCAACCTCAACGCAGAGTGTCTTTTGTCTCCACTATATAGCATGTCAACCATATGCATGTCAACCATGAATTGCGTGCAATCTCTCATATATATAAGTATCACTGAGATACTAATAGTTTATTATCCGTAATGAGCTTATAATATAATAATAAGTTTTTATAATATTTTATTATAATAATAATAGGTATCTTTCATAAGTTAAAGTCTCGTGAGTGACTCATGCACCACCACGTAGCCAGTATAGATGACGAATTTTATTTTGAGTTTTCACTTTCTATAGTTCGTTTTTTAATTCATTAAGTCAAACTCAGTATAGTTGAATGCATGATTTGCTAACATATTAACATTGATTTTGTTTAACATTAATTATTTCAAGCGAATTCGCAATTATATAACAATGATTATGTAAACTGAATAACTGCGCTTATAAATAATTGGTCTAAAATTCACAAGGAATTTAAAAGCAAAGAAAAGGCCAAGAAAATTCACCATATCGATATTGAAAACGTTTCGGAGTCCAGCTCCATCATCAGTTCGACTAAACTAAAAATGAATAAAATCACTTTAAAAGTCAAAATTCAAAGACAGACATAAAACCTAAACAAGACCTAACATTATATCGAAATATTTCAGGATTCTCGGTTCCCCTTCTGGCTGCTCGGATTTGAGAATTTTGGAGTCTCTACATATCTTCAAACGAAAACCATGTCTCAATAATGCGTTTAGCTCATATAATCTGGATTAGTCGAACTGATGATGGAGCTGGACTCCGAAACGTTTTCAATATCGATATAGTGAATTTTCTTGGCCTTTTCTTTGCTTTTAAATTCCTTGTGAACTTGCGATATAAGCAGACTAATGATATAAGTACTGGTCAAAAGTTTTCATTGCTTACGTTTATTATATTAGATTAACATTAGGATATGAAGATCTAAATAAAACATTTTGATAACCAAATAAATAGCTGATGTAAATAAACTGTAATTTGTAAACCACCTAAAAGATATCAGATATATTCCACATTTCTAATATTGTTGTTCGAAATTAGGGGGGCAAATTGTAACTGTCGCTGGCTAAGAGCTGCTTTTTAAAAAAGTTTTCTTTTTCGATAAATAATTAAATAATTATACATGCAAAATATTCTTCTTCATAAACTAAACAACGTTAGATGTAAAAATCGTTTTCAAAATAATGATTGAAGTATTTTAAAAGAACCTGCAATTTACTGATTTTATATCCCACATATTTGAATAAATATTTAAATTTTACCTTGCTCAGATTTGAATGCATTTGTACTGCGACATGTTTGCCAGTTTACGGCCTGTTTATTCAGACACTGCAGCCTCGCTGACCGCATCTTCAACAAAATATTTCAATTAAACATTTATTTTCAGCGCAAACATATTCAATGTTTTGTGGTTTGGGGATTGATATTTGATTCATTGAGGGGGTGTATGAGACCAGATCGAAAGACACTTGTAAAAAATTTAATGACTGAGCTGCACGCAAAAATATAGTTAATTTTACCGCAGCACTTAAATAAGAAATAGGACAGCATCAGCCATAACACCAGCAACAGAAAGAACACTAAACTTTTCCATTAGCAACTAATGCGTAAATATTAACGGTGGACCAGGCAACAAATTAGCAGCAGAACTAGCATCTGCACTGCAACAGAACTATCATCTGCAGCAGCAGCAGAACTAGCATCTTAGCAGGAGCAGCTGTAACTGCAGCAGGAGCAGCTGTAACAGCAACAGGAGCAGGAGCAGCTGTAACTGCAGCAGGAGCAGCTGTAACAGCAACAGGAGCAGCTGTAACAGCAACAGCAGCAGCACGAGCAGCTGTAACAGCAACAGCAGCAGGAGCAGCTGTAACAGCAGCAGGAGCAGCTGTAACAGCAGCAGGAGCAGCTGTAACAGCAACAGCAGC